TTTGTTTGTTTGTTTTGCTTTGTTTTGTTTTTGCACAGGGCCTTGTCATTATCAAATATGAGGATGGATTTAAAATATCTTGTGTTCAGTCTTGGACTTGGCATCTCATTTGTCTTCACCATTCTCTTGACCATAGACATCTTATTTTCCTCTGACCTTGTGCCCTGCTCATATTGTCTCTTCTGATAGAAAACCATCCTTGTCCTCTCAAAAGTGTCCAAATTTTAACCTTCACTAAAAGCCTACTTCGCATGCTCTCTGTGAACATGAGGTCAGTTCACATGGAGTCTTGTTTTGGCTTCTCACCTAAGCTTTTCACCCCAGAGATGGAAAGGTGAGGGTATTCCAGTAGACCAGTGGTGGTCTATGATTCCACAACACTAGGAGGATCTAGTGTGGGGAGAGTGAAACATCATGAGTAACAAATCCAGGCCATACTTGAGCTCTGTATGGTAAAGTCCTTTGGCTCCATGGAAAGGTGCTTTACATGTGCTGTGAATTGTGGACCCTGTTTAGTGACTGGAAGTACCTGGGTGGTGTAAATGATTAAGATGCTTGGTTTCTAACCCAAAAGTTGGAAGTTTAAGTCTACCCGGAAGCACATTGGAAGGAAAACGTGTGATCTACTTCTGAAAAATCAGGCATTAAAAACTCTATGGTGCCTAGTTCTTCTCTGACATATGTGAGGTTGCCATGAGTTGGTATCAACTCCACAGCAATGGATACAGATTTGGATTCATTATTATTTGGCCTTTTCTTGTCATTTGTAAAAAAAAAAAAAAGTCTCTGGTGGAATGAAGCCTGTAGGCACATACATACATATTTATTGGTGATGATATGCCCAGTTTATTAATTCATACTATTTTTCGCTCCCTCTGGATGGAATAGGGATTTCTTTATGAATTCAGTTACCAGATAGGAAATGGCTCCAGACATACTCTGTACCGTGGAAGAGATGCCCAGTATTATTTTGCTTTGCCAGCTGGTGAACCATTGGACAGTTACAGAGGTAAGCTATGGTGTAAATTTAGTTTGTTACTATACTTACTGAGGATTCTAGCCCTTTTACCTGTTTTTCTAAACTGCACAACTACATAGAAAGAAAATAAAATTTGTATTTATTCATTTTTTTCTCTTTTAATTTATCTTTTTCTTTTTAACCATTTTGTTGTGAATTGTGTGAAGGTTTATAGAGCAAACTGGTTTTCCATTCAGCAATTCCTACATTTTGCTTCAGTGGTTGTGATCACCATAGTGTAATATCACTTATTCAACTTCCTTCCTGTGTTTCTTGTTTCCATGCCTCCTCCTTCCTCCTTCTGTCTTCTGAACTTTGTCCTTGGGAAATGCTGCCCTTTAGATCTCAAATGGTTGATTTTTCTAGGAAATGTGTACATCCCACTATTATTATTCACCTTATAGCTCTATCTGTTGTTTGGCTGAAAACTGAGCCACAGGGATGAGTTCAGTTCCAGGCCTTGACGTATTCCATAAGTCTCTGTCAATCAGTAAACCTGATCTTTTTATATATATATGATTTGGACTTTTGTTCCACATTTTTCTCCTACTCTATCCAGGACCTTCTAATGTGACCATTTTCAGAGTGGTTGGTAGTGGTAGTCAGTTTTCATGTATTTCTTTTGGTTTCAAAGTCATGGAAGCTGAGGTTTACATGGTACGTTACTCCACTGCACTAATTGTTTACGTGTGTCTTCAGTTTTCTTCAGTCTTTTTTGCTCTGGCCAGGGAGAGGCCAATAGCTCCGTGTGCTTTAGATGACTGCTCACAAGTTTTAAGACCCCGCTTTCTATTTACAAAGTAGGATGCCCAACACTC